AGCCTCAGGAGATGGCTTCTGGAAGTGACCAGAACCAACTGCAGAGCTCAGTGGGACAGGGCACACATGATGAAACAGGGCTCAACGCCCAGGGCTAGGAAATGCTCTTGGGAGAAAATGCCACTGCAAACACGACGAAGAGCAAAACTTCACCTACTCCACAGAACTCCCGAGGCCCAGGCACTGCAGCTGCAGTGTTTCTCTTCATCCCTGTGGCCACCATGGGCAGGGATGACGTGATGCTGTCTGCCTCTTATAGGTGACGGGGTGGCTCAGAGAGGCGACACCCAGGGGTGACATGCACAGGGTTGGGGTTGGGGCAGAAGCAGGGCAATGACTCTTGGGGCTGCATGGCTTCCTTTGCTGCCTCTGTCTCTCCCTTTCTTTCTTATCTCACAGAGCAGGTAGTAAAATGATGGCCTGGGATGTCCTTTCTGCAGTAATATGTCAAAAGGCTCTGGAATTTCTAATATACATACAGATATGCATTATATAATATATATTACATGGCCCATATCTGTGCTTCAGAAAGCACTTAGAGAAAAAGTCACAAAACAAACAAATGGTAGAGTAGCTCACAGACACTCTATTTCAAACAAAGAAATCCAAAATCACTTTTGACCCACTAACAAAATTATTGCAAATTAAAAGATCACTGAGTATTTTTTTAAATGTATTTGGTACAGGGGTCTATAGGTTTACAGGTAGTAATCCTCCTATTTTCAGCCTCCCAAGTGCTGGGATTACAGGCGTGCACCACCACACCCAGTCTCAATCGCCATCTCAGCACACCCTGGGAGCAGGCCAGCGCTGCATGCCAGGGATTGAACCCTGGCCACTGTGCTCTGCCCAAGTGGGCTCTTTAGTTTGCTGAGCTATCTGTCCAGTCCTTGATCACAGATTATTTTTCTTTTATCAACCTGGCAAAATATTAAGATTATTATAATCAATTCATTGCCTAGTGCATCCATGGAATTGAATGCCAAATAATCACTAAAACATCTTTTGGAAAACACTTTCAGGATATGGGGAAGTCATGTGTTAAAGTTTTAAAAATTAGAGAAAGAATTCATGAAACTGTGATTGGAAGTGCACATGACAGCCAAGGTCTAGAAGGAAATTTATCGCAACCTTTCTCTGCGGCTCTCTGTGTATGCTGAAAGTGCAGGCGATTGAAATTTTCCATGCTGAACTTGCGGTACTACTAACTGCTATTGACTAAAATGCTAGTTTTTTGTTTTTTGTTTTGGTTTTTTTTTTTAAAGAACCGGGGATTGAACTCAGGCCCTTGTGCTCGCCAGGCAAGGGCTTATTCTACTGAGCCATCTCCCCGGCCCCCAAAATGCTAATTATTGTCTAAAATGCTGCATCTGAAGCGCCTCCAGTCTGGCTTACCCCTCTGGCAGCAATGCCGACCCACAGAATGAGCTGGGTACTCTGTGTGCGGCGCATACATTGCTTGCATTGTGTCGTCTGTGTGCGTCTGACTGGAATTTATCCTGAGGACTGATGTTTCATATTCAGACAATATTTTCCTTTTATTGGGCTTTGGTTGAAAAAAAGCAAGGAAAAGGATTTTTAAAAATCAATGTCAATCAGATAAATGTAATCTGATTACGAAAATAAATTCAACCTTGACCTTGTGAATGACTTCAGAAGCCCTCTTTGTGAATTCCACACCGCACGCTCACGAGATTGCCTGCCCTACCTCCAGGCTGTGGGGTCAAGAACCCCAGGGTGCCCAGTCCTCTAGGGGCTGGCCAGCTGCCTCTTCAAAGGGAACCTACAAATCCTGCAACAACCGGGACACCCCCAGGACGAGAGCCGAGTGCCCCCGTCTCCTATGGTCCTTGGCACCTCGGGTGGGGCTCAGCCCCCTCCCACTCCGGACCTGTGTGCCAGTCCCAACCAGAAGCCTTGTCCCGTCCCAGAGGGCAGCGAAGGGGTCACATTCAACTGCTTCCCTGAGATGAGGGTGTTGGAAAAGCTTAAAATGGGCCCAAACTGATGACCTTTCTTTTCCTAGAGTAGATTTTTTTTTTTAAAGATACTGGGGATTGAACTCAGGACCTTGCACTTGCCAGGCAAGTGCTTATTCTACTGAGATATCTCCCTGGACCTTTTTTTTTTTTTTTTTGGTGGTACCAGGTATGGAACTCAAGACCTAGTGCTTGCCAGGCAAGAGCTTATTCCACTGAGCTATCTCCCTAGCCCCTAGAGCAGATTTTTAATTGAGGTTTTCCTTATGAAAATAACACTCATTGAAACAAAAGTCTTCCCCGACTAAAGAATGTGGGGCACACCGCACCACCGGCCCCCACGCCGCTCCTGGCTCTCAAGGTGGCCTCAAAAGTTCGGCGCCTGCGCGCTCGGGTCCTTGGTATGTTAGATGTGCTCGAGAACACACGGCTGCCGCTGGCCGTTGTGCTTTCTGTCGTTTCCGTTTTAATTCCCGGCTGTCCGCCACGGCCTGAGCGTATGAAGTGCAGAACCCCAGAAACCCCAGAAATGAGCAATACACCGGCTCCACGCGGTGTGCTTCTGGGAAGAAGGGTAGGATTCCGCGTGTGTTCCGCCCTCCCCCGCCCCCCCTCGCCCCCCCGGGACGCGGGTCATGCCCGGGTCGGTTCACGCGCGCAGCGCGCACCCCCTGCCCGCTCCTCCCGCAGCAGGGTCCGTGTTAGCAGCCCGACTCCCCTGTGCAGACGTGCCTGTGGTTCCCTTCACCGACTTGCAACGCCCCAAAGCCCAAGCGCCCTGGGCTGGCAACCTTATCCCCGGGCAGCACTGAGCTTATTGTCTTGTTGTTGTTAGCCTCAGCTGCTTCTAACTTACACGTCAAGCTTTGTCTGCAGGTACAGGGAAAGAAGTTGGTATGTTAAGGCCCAACGGTGTCTGTGTTTTCAGGCAAATACTGGAGTCCTGGAACGAATGCCCTGGGGGCGGGGAGCGCTGTACATGCACATTTTAACTTATTTGGGCTGTAACCGAGCATGGTGTTTTCAGCTATTTTTGGTCACTTAACAATATATGGGATTTTAAAATGTCCATACAAGAGTAGAGATTTATTTCATTCATAGAAAGCATGCTTTTGAATCCCTGTTCTTGGACACTTGAGCAAAGCGGGGACATTCCTGGCCACCGTGCAAATCGCCCCCATTAGCTACAAAAATAAAGGTTTGTGCTTTATAAATCAAATGGATCTGATTAGAAGACTCAACTGTCCCCAGCCGACGCCTTCCTACTTACATTTCTGTGACTGGTTGGGCAGAGCTGTCCCAGGAGCATTTCCTCCAGACACAAGGATGGAATAGGTGAAGAGCGAGAAACCACGCCCCTGCTCACCCCACCTGCTAGATAGGCTTGGCATGGCCTTAGTGCCAGGCAGGGAGCTGCTGGGGCTGTGTGTCTCAGGAAGGCAGAGGAGACAGTGGCCAGTACCAAGGCCCAGGCCACAGTGCCTTGAGCAACCCCGAAAACAGGGGTGATGCTTGCCCCCAGTCATAGGTATGAAACAGATGCATGGGGAGGTTCAGTGAATTGTCCAAGGATTCACAGCACTTTTGTGGGAAGCAAGCATCTGTTTGGGCTCATACCCATTCTGCAAGGCTGCCCAGATGTAGAGAGTGCAGGGCCTTCTCAGAGCCCAGGAAGGAGCTAGAAGAACCAGAAGGGAAACATGCAGGGGCGACTGTGGTTGCTCTGAGCTCAACATGGCGGTGAGGGGGTGGGAAAGGGCGAGAGCTGGGAGCAAGTAGGCCCATGGAGACCCTGGCCATCCAAAGGGTCTCAGGCAAAGAGGGGCTGAAGGCTGCAACCTCAGCAGAAAGCTCAGGGTGACAGGGGGAGCCCAGGAGAGTCGGGGCTCCAGGCCCATGATCCCAAGAAGCTCCTACTGTTGTCTCGCACCATGCTGTGGTCGTGAGTTGTGACAGCAGGAATGGATGGGGTGATACCTCAATTCAAAGGTTTGTGGTGGAAGTGACAAACTGGAGTCACATCACAGCTTCTGTGGGGAGGGGCAGATGTGGCTCCACTCGGCCCTAGGGCGTCTTGCATGGCCACCATCAGTGGATAGGGCTTGAGGAGCCAGAAGGAGAGGAGAAGCCATCACTTCTGGAAGATTCTGGAGTGACCAGGTACAGCCTGAGCCTGAGGCCTCAGCTCTGAGCCCACCCACCCCAGAATCGAGCTGTGGCATTTTTGAGCACAAGCCTGACTTTTCTGTTTCCATCAATAAGGCCCCCTGCTCCTGTGAGCTGCCCAGCATTGGTCAGCCTGGGCCCACAGACAGCACACAAGGCCCCCTTGAGAGTTGGCCTGGGGCCTTCCTGTCCTGTGGGACTGCTCAGGACAAGCTGCCCTCTGACCTTTGCTCCTGAAGTAGACAGACCTGGAGGCTGCTCCACCCAGGCAGCCAAGAGGTGTCTTGTGTAGGGTGTGGATGGTTAAGTACACCCCGCAAGCCGGCTGTTGTACGCAAAGCTGATGTCATATAAGACTTAATTCAAGAGCAGTAGAGATGGCGTTGATAAGTGAGTATCCTGGGCTCCCTTGCCAGAACTGTTGTCATCTCTGGGGACCCGGAAGGGAGCGTCTAGCCCTAGGAATCTTCAGCTTCCTCAAGGATCAGGACAGAGGCCGGGCACTGAGCCCTCCAGCAGCGGCCTGCAAGTCCCTGTGGTGGGGCCTGGCTGTTGTCTGTCCCTGCTCTTTCAGATAGACCTGTCTGTGACATTCTACAATTGTGGGGATATGTCCCCTACCCACACTATGTGAACTCCATTGATCCTATTTTTCAAAAACAAGGACAAGAAAATTCTTCGTTAAAAAACTCGTTTCTGAATTCTTAGCCTTGGTGTGCGACTTCTCTAAAAGAAACTAAGACCTCGAGGTTCTTCTATACACACGTGCCTCTGTGCAGACACACAGGACAAGCTCGGCCAGGGAAGAGGGGCTGCCGGAGACCGCCGCCACCCTGCCACGCGGCTCACAGTCACCTGCATTCTATGAACCAGTGCCGGATCTGGTCCTGAAGGTTCTCCTTGATGTCTGGGCCTTCGATCAGCCTCAGGTCGTTCTTGATCGTGACCAGGGCATCCTGGTAGCGCTCCTCATGCTTCACCTGCATGTCAATCCGCAGAAGGTCCACCTTCTCGGCCTGCAGGATCGTAGGGCTCACTTCATCAAAGCGAGGAGGGGGGTTCTGGAAACAGCAGAAAGTTTGAGATGGGAAAAGTCACAGAGCTGGTGAAAGTTATCAGAGGTGACCTAAAAATTAAAGTATTTTCTCCATAAGTGAAAAGGGTACAAGATCAGATCTGGCCTGACATTGAGAGCATGGATTTTCCATCGTGGGGAGGGAAGATTTCCCAGACTCAGGAGGTGCTCAGCCTGAAAAATGCAAAGTGTGGCTGCAGTGTGGATCCCAAATGTCCCGAGAGGCCCCACATTAAAGGCCTGAAAGGCCTGATCCCCTCTGTGGGACCCTGAGGAGGGCCTAGCCTTCAGGGGGCGGGAAGCCTTTAGGCCGCTGTGGTGTGGCTTAAAAAGACTTCTGTGATCTGAGCCCTCATTTCAGCCTTTTCACTTCCTGGCCAGGAGGTGAGGGTTGTGCTTGGCCACACGTCCCTGCCCCCTCACACTGCCTGGCCGGAAGTCAGGATGGCCATCAGCCCTGGGCTCCAATGTCAAGACTTAGCTTTTTCATTATGAATAAATCTTTAAATTTTAAAAGTCAGTTAACTTGGGAGTTTATTATAGTGATATAAAGCTATCTAATATGCTCTATAAGCTTTCAAAAGTTCTTTCACACCATAAGAAAACTATTCTAAATCTTCTTGGTCAGCGGGCAACAGAGAATGCATAGGAAGGATGTGGAGCAAAGCCTGGTGGACAGAGTTGAGGTGCTCTGATTTTGAGAAAATAGCACCAACATGCAATCTGAGCCACTACTATAGACCCCCAAAGAGGCAAATCCCACAGCTGAGCCCTGACAGCTGCTCTGCAGTTGCACTGATCACCACTACAAGGCTCTACCTTGAAACCCGGTCACCGGCAGCTCCACCAGCGGCTGGCTACGGAGCACCCCCTACATGCTGAGCCATGGCCCAGTGCTAAGGGAAAAAACAGTCTCACTTAAGACATAAATGCTAGCTCCAAATCTCCAGAGAAATGAAAGTGGTGGATGACGGCAGGGACTACGGCTATCAATCAAAGTGCCAAGGGCATGTGAGGAAGGAGGGAGAGGGAGCTGGAGGGAACTCTTGGAGAGGGAAGTCTTGGCTTATGGTGCCCAGAATCACAGCTATAAGGGCCGAGGGGCGGTTCTCTGTGATAGACAAAGATCCCGAGCTCTTGCTATGGTGGCTGCTGAGGTGGTTGTCATCCTGCCACACTGTGCCTGCAGCCTCGGGGTGACGCCCTGGATGGCCAGAGGGTTGCGGTGCAAGGAGGATTTGGGGGTCTGAGAACAGAGGGCAAACACATTTCTGAAGCTGAGAAAGTGACAGCATTGAAGACTGAAAGCAAAGCACTGGCAAAGCTACGGATTTAAACCAATTATTTGAAAAGAAAAAGAACAAGAATTCAGTTCAGAATGTGCACTAAGAAATCCCAAGAAGATCAAGCAAAGAGTAGGGCAAGCGTGCGCTGCTGTCCCATGCACGCTGACTCTGGGGGTACCTTGCACCCCAACTCTGGGGCACCTCACACCCCCACTCTTGGGGGCACCCGCAGTCTCTGGAGGCAGAGGAGGAGTGCAGTGGGGATGCACTGAGAATTCATACCCCAGCCAAAGCCAAGCCAAGCAAGAAAAGGAAGCCACACATTTAATGCTGTACAGACATACGCATTAGACATTTTAAAAAAGTAGGATGATTTTCTGAGTTTAGTATAATGAGAGAAAAACCTAATATTCTTGAAGAGAGAACACAGAATGGGGATTTTTAAGATCACTTTAAAGAACATCAGGACAAATTATCTAAGTAACCTCACTGTTCAGGTGCTCAAAGCCATGGCCTTTTGTTTCTTTTTTTGAAGCAGATACTTTATTAACTGACCAAATCATAAGAGCACCACGGTAGATACCTTAGTTATCCTTCTAATAGGCCTGCCAATCTGGTCTTCCCTATTTCCAGCATCTCCACCTCCACACAATGGGTGGTCTTTTTCTTCATTCCACCTTGTGGAGATCATAACTTGAACGGCCACAGGAAGCTATTTGCCTCTTTGAAGCGTTTTCCAACAGCGTAGATCTCATGAATCAGATCCTTCATGCAGATGGTGCTGTATTTACCAAGAGATCGAGCAATCAATGAATTATCTGTCCAGGCAGTTCGCTTCTTACTGATTCTGCCACAGTCACGCTTGAGTGTTAGTTTGTTCGCTGACTTCAGCTTTGGGTGCCCCCATGCAATGTATGGCCCCACTGTTCTCAGCATGTTAATTGAAGCCGTGTTGAGCTTAACGAAGGTGCCGTTGAAGATTTGGCGACGGCAAAGAAGCTGCAACACCTGGCAGACCTTTGGGCTCACACCATTGATACCCCTGATCCGGATGACAAGTGCCAGTTTGGGCTCTGCAGGGACACAGAAGTTGCCAGCTTTCCTCGCCATCCTCACCATTCGGATCTCAGTTCTGTACATCTGTCTGTGCTCCTCATGACAGTGCCTGGGTTTTTCATAGATGAGCTTCCTCCAGGCCTTGTGAAGCAGCTTCTGGGCAAACTTCTTTCTCAGGCACTTTATCTTCAGCTCTGCAAAATGTCTCTGTCTTTTCTTATGGGTTTCTGGCACGGTAGGAGCCTTCATTTTTTTCTCTTTTACACCCTCCATGGTTCTAGCCAGAAAAGAGGTGACTTTTTGTTTTTGACAGGATCTCACTATGTAGTCCAGGCTGGCCTTGAACTCACTGTGGAGCCTGGGCTGATCTCAAACCCTAAGCAATCCTCCTGCCTCAGCTTCCCAGTGCTGAGATTACAGGTGTGTGCCACCACACCTGACTTTTCCTTGTGTTGTGTGTTTTGTGTCAAAACAAGTGAAGAAACTTCTCTTATTTAATCATTTACAATAAAAACCAATCTTTAGACCTCCAGTAATGATTTTTATTCTCAATGCTTACATTTTAAATGTATGAAATAGAAATTGGTAATTCAGACTTCAATCGACTTTCCCAATGCCTCTTTAAAGTTAACTGCTTTTTTTTTTAAATTTATTTATTTATTTATTTAGAAATTGGTAATTCAGACTTCAATCGACTTTCCCAATGCCTCTTTAAAGTTAACTGCTTTTTTTTTTAAATTTATTTATTTATTTATTTATTAGAGAGAGAGAGAGAGAGAGAGAGAGAGAGAGAGAGAGAGAGAGGTGTGTGTGGCCAGCTCAGCCCACCAGGGGGCGGGCTGGCTGGCATGTGGTGCTGGGGGATTGAACCGTGGTCCCTGTGCTTCGCTGAACTTGTTCTAAGTAGGTGCTTTAGACCACTGAGCCATCTCTCCAGCCCAAGTTAACTGCTTTTATGAAGATATTAAAATGGATCTGAGCCCCAATGTCCCAAATTTCTCAGCCTCTGAAGAAAGCAGAGCACTCAAACCTTGAACTGATTCCACGATTTTCAGCAGATGGAATGAAATTCTCCACAAATTCCATGATTCTTCCCCCCCACACACAACAACACACACACCAGCACACCGGGCCTGGTGTCCTTTGTCAGTTTCCTTCTTAGGTGCACACAGCTGTGTCGAGTGGGGTCTTTTTACAGCATTCAGCTCTCCATGCAGCGTCCTGTTCTCTCCATGGGTGTGGCTTTGGGGTGATGTCCCCATCCCACGTGTCCCTACCTTGCATCTTTGGTGGATGTCCACATCCTTTAGCCATGAGGGCACGAGGGGCCCACAGAACAGATGCACTAAGGGAGGCTCAGCATGGATGTTTTCCGAGTCATTCCACGGCTAGTGAAGTTTTCGGTTTCTTGGGTCCCTTGTGGACAGTGTCACCACGCTGTGCCATTAATATGTGTGTGCTCAACCGTGCTTGCCGATGTAGGTCTTCTCCAGCCAAATCACGTCGGGGTCATTTGTAGCTTCCTCCTCTAGTTCTTTGCAAATTTAAAGGTTATCACATCTTTAAGCCCTATGCCAATGAGCAGCATTCCTTCGGGCTAATACATCTTTTCCTCTTTAGCAACTTTGGTCATATGGAATTCAAATTTGTTAACTCACCACAGGCACAGCAACTCATTTAAAAATAAATTGCGACTATTAGGGGCTGCCAGAGAACACGAAAATGCACTCTGTACCGAGGCACGTGGGCTGTGGAATAGCGCATCTTAATGAAGGCTTCCCATGTGAATAAACCATTATATTTACAAGCCTTCCACCACTAATGACCCGGAACAGGATAACGAACCCTACATTTGTAGCGAGGTCCTCTGTCAGCAAAAATATACATATTAATAATTGATGTTGCAGTGGAAATAGGACATCAGATGACGGTCCCTGAGTTGGTGGGCAAGTAGGACGACACAGTCCATTACCTTACATGCTTATCTAATGTTTGATGGGCTTTGTCTTTAAAAATCCTTGTTCAAATTAAGGAGAGAAAATGGACATTAGTTCAAATGGGAGCCTGCTCCATTTCTTAGTCCCAGACATTCTCCCAAGTCAGCGGGTGCAGGCTAGCAGCCTTCTAGGGAAGCGAATCGTCTGGGGTGGGCAGGTTGGCATCCGACGAGGTCACAGCAGCCAGGGGCAGGAGCGTGTGGATCCAGGCATGGAGAACTGCAGGCTTTGGCCCGGTTCTGCACCCGGGACACCACACCCAGCGCAGTGGCTTCACCTCCGCCAGCTGCGTGTTTGCGGAGTGGACCGTGGTGCCGCTGGGCTTCAGGAAATCAGCCCCTCCGTTGGGCGCTGCGCTCCGGGGCCCACGCCGCGCGTGTGCGTCTGGTTTCTCCGACTCCCCCACCACAGCCCCGCCGGAGGGCTGGAGGCTCCTCTCCACCATAGGACGTTAGGCCAAATCTTTCTTGTAGAGTACATGGTTTTAGAAAGTGCAAAACTATGAAATAAAAAAAATTAATAATAATAAAATGTTCCAGCCTACTAAGCCCCAGTCCTTAAAAAAAGGTTTTTAGCTTTAAAAAAAATTATGCCGGGGCTGGAGAGATGGCTCAGTGGTCTAAAGCACCTACTTAGAACAAGCTTGG